AAAGGTGCTCACTGACGACCAGAAATTTCGGCGAGTGGAAGTGTGCCAAGAAAATTTGAACATGTGTGAAAGTGACCCCAATTTTTGAATAACGTAATCACAGGTGACGAGTCGTGGATCTTTGAGTATGATCCCGAGACAAAGAGGCAATCTTCCGAGAGGCACACGACGGCGTCTCCTCGCCCAAAAAAGGGAGGAATGGGCAAATCCAAAGTGAAAACGATGCTAATTGTCTTTTTAGACATCAAAGGTATCGTCCACCATGCATTTGTTCCTCCTGGACAAACCGTCAACGCCAAGTTTTACGTGGAAGTGCTCAGGAGACTCAAACGAAGGGTCAGTCGGGTCCGACAAGACATCGCAGCCGACTGGAAGTTGCACCACGACAACGCCCCGGCTCACACCGCCTTTCTTGTGAAAGCTACCTGACCAAGGCCGGCATCCCAATGCGTCCGCAGCCGCCCTACAGCCCAAATGTGCCCCCCCCCGGACTTTTTTTTGTTTCCTCGCCTGAAAAGGCCGATGAAAGGCAAGCATTTTGAGACGACAGAGGGGATCCAAGCAGCATGCACCGCGGCTCTCAAGGCTATTCCGGAGAATGCCTTCCGTGACGCCTTCAATGCTTGGAAATCGCGCTGGCAGCGCTGCATCGACGTAGAAGGAGCCTATTTTGAAAGTTTTTAAAGAATTGTTACGATTGGCTCAATAAATTTTTTTAAATCGACTCAGTCCTATTACTTTCCGGACAAACCCTGTATGTTGATCTTGCACTGATTTGGTAGGTAATATAGACAACAGACAACACACAGCACAACACCCATGGAGCAGGACTCGGGTCGACTTATTACAGCGATGTGGAGTATTATAAAAGACAATGCAGCTCCTGTCGATAAAAAAATTACCACAACACTAAACGCTAACCAGTTTAATTCATTTTTCACCACCGTTGTTAATTAGCTTTTAGAAAGCTTACCGTCACATGGCACTTCACCGCTAAGCTATATGGATAATCATAGCAGAAAAAATCTATTTTCTTTTCGTGATGTTACATACAATGAAGTTAGGGATGCGATTAATTCTATCAAAAACTCTAAAAGCACCGACGTATATAAACTTAATAGTAAAATTGTGAAATCGATGTTAAACGTAATTATTTACCCGCTTACTAAGCTAATCAATATGTGTTTAGAATCAAATATTTTCCCCGCAGCTCTAAAAATATCTAGGGTAATTCCTATATATAAAGACGGGTCTGTTGACGAAGTTTCGAACCACCGTCCTATATCATTGGTACCCTACTTCGCGAAAATCTTTGAAATTATACTCAAGGACCAACTGAGCAATTATCTCGAATCCAACAATTTCCTAAATTCTCAACAATATGGCTTTAGAACAGGCTTATCAACGATTACTGCAATAAACAGTTTTATTGACATTGCACACAATGGATTTGAAAATAAGCAATATATAGAGGCAAATTTCTTCGATCTGAGCAAGGCCTTCGATTGTGTACAGCATGATGTACTTCTTTCAAAGCTACCGTATTACTCAATCGATCCTTCTGCTGTAGTCCTCCTAAAATCCTATTTAGAGCAAAGGCAACAGCTCGTCGAATACAATGGCTGCACATCGTCAGTCAGCACAGTTTTACATGGCGTGCCACAAGGATCTGTCCTTGGCCCTTTGTTATTCTTACTGTATATAAACGACCTACCAAATTGTCTTCTTAATACTATGAACAGTAAGCTCATTCTTTATGCTGATGACACCACTCTGATCTCAGCCCACGATTCATTTACAAACATCAACAGCGAAACGACGGCCAGTATATCTAGCATTCAGAATTGGTTTATAACTAACAAATTAACATTAAATTCAAACAAGTCTCAATCCTTGACAATCACACTTCGAAATAACAATCAGAATGGTGACCACGCAAAGGTTGTGAAGTTTCTCGGTGTCTATATCGACTCCTCCTTGAACTGGTATGAACATATCAGTCATGTTACCAAATCTCTAACAAGCATAATTTATTTAATTCGCAATTTAAAACACTCAGTTTCACTAAACGTCCTGTTGACCAGTTACCATGGGTACTTCCATAGCAAAATGACATACGCCCTTCTGGCGTGGGGCCACTCTCCCCACATGTACAGAGTATTTGCTCTACAGAGAAGATGTATCAGATATATAGCAAATCTAAGATATAGAGATCCCTGCAGATCTGAGTTTATCAAACTAAAGATCATGACTTTGCCTGGCACATATATATTGAGCTGCCTCTTGCATGTCAAGTCAAATCCTGACCTTTATACAAGCCACCATGAAACTCATTCATATAATACCCGACACCGAGACAACTTGTACCCAAAACAACATAGACTTGCTAAAACAAGGAATGGAGTTAACTACCATGGCATAAAATTTTATAATATTTTACCTAAGGAACTGAGATCACTAGCATACAATGAATTCAGTAATGCTGTGAAAAAATTGCTCTTGTCGGCTGCTTTTTTCACCATTGACGAGTTCCTCAACCACAACTTCTCCAAGGATACTCAATAGTTATATTTCTAGCTACATTTCCTTTTTTTGCTACTTATTCGAACCATGTATAAAATATCTATTTCAGTTCTATCTCTTATGCTATTTAATTATTGATTTTAACGTAGTTTGTAATAATTTTTATTATTATTATTATACAAGGTCGACGCGCCGACTACTCGGCTACCCAAGCGTCTGTTTCTGTAGGTCTGTCATTGGTCTCTTTGAAACTGCCTCAAAAATCATAGGTCGTAATAGCAAAGGGTTAATCAAATTCTAAAATTCTCTGTCCATGCCATTTTCGGGCTGGAAGGTAGGGATTTTAACTTTTACCCAATTAAATATTGGGATAGCAAGAAACTTTAACTCAAAGGTCAAAGACAGTATTGATTTCGGATACTCGTTTCTAAGCCGCCGTATATGTATATACAGGGTGGCCGACGGGAACCTGACGTTTTTGAGATGGCTAGTACTCTGCCGGTAAGAGGAGTAGGGAGCCGAATGACAAGCCATTAATCTGGCCATTCGATGCCGTTTCAGTAGCTATGGAACGGTGGACAGTTGAGCATCGCATGTTTGCGTATGACGCATTTGTGCAGAATGGCCGGTCTGTTATTACCGTGCAGCGACTTTTTCGTCTGCGTTTCAATCGTGGGCATTGTGGAACCGTTCCAAGCCGCAACACGATTCTCAGTTGGGTTCATAATATACGGACAACAGGATCTATTCTGAAAAAGAAGCCACCAGGTCCGACTAAGACAGCAAGAAACACCAGACAACATCGAGCGTGTATGTTGCTCAGAAGCTTGAAGAACGAGATTATGCGCAGAGGCAGGAGTTTGCTTGTCGAATGCAAGCGCTTTTGGAAGACAATGAAAATGAGTGACGAGGCGCATTTTCATTGTATGGGGTTGTTAATAGACAAAATTGACGGTACCGGTCCTCTGAGAATCTCCGTATCGTGCACGAAAAGCCTCTACATTCAGAGCGTGTAGCTGTTTGGTGCGCAACTACTCCATTCATTCATTTTTTCGAGGATGAGAATGGTTCAACTGTTACAGTGAATGCCGAACGTTACTGCCACATGCTAAACACTTTCTTGCGTCTCAAACTGTGCAGGCGGCAACTGGATTTGGAAAATATTCATTTCACACACACTGCTGGTGTGCCCATGCAAGTGCTGCGAAGCATCTTCCCAGAAAGATGAAGTTCCCGTTTTGGCGACTTCCCGTGGCCCCCGAGATCACCTGACATGAACACTGACTTTTTTCTGTGAGGGTATCTCAAATCACGTGTATACACAGACGCCGCACATTGGCAGATCTAAAAGAGGCAATCAGGGAAGAAGTGGCTGCAATTGATGGTGAACTGATGAAGCGTGTGATGGCCATGTTTCGGGGAAGGCTGGAACAGTGCATTCAGGAGGATGGACAACACTTACCTCACGTAATTTTCCACAAGTGTTACTTATCTTCAAATGGCATGTCATGATAAACGATTTTGTGATCAAGACCTATATTGTGGCCGGCTAGATCACCAGATTTAAATCCTATGGATTTCCTTCTTTTGGGGTGATTTAAAACGCCGCCAGTGGAAACTGTAGATGATCTTCGACAAAGAATTTTCCACCATAGCCAGAGAATGAAAAATAACATCCAAATACTTTGGATAGTGCAGTAGGATTATGTTAGTTCGTCGAGCTCGAGAGTGTGTTAGGCAAGGTGGTGCTCATTTTGAACAATTTTTGTAGTTATTATTTCCGTTTTAGTTTTGTTGCCATCCTCATTTGTTATTGTTAAAAACCATAGCAGAGCTACTCAGATATTATCCAAAGCAATTTGATTATTATGTTATAAAAATGTTTTATCATCATGGTAAAAAAATGCATTGGAAATTTTAAAAGCAAATATCTCGAAAACTATTAGCTTTAGACACTACTAACAAGTGAAGCTTTTTTGTTGTGGAAACTAGAGAAAACAAGACTATTTGCTAAGTTGTTATATACAGGGTAGCACAAAAAAGTTATGATAAGTTATTTACCGAAATAGTGCTGTAAGTGGCGCCCTCTAGAAGTTTGGCCATAAAAATAAAGGGTTCTTGCTTCTCACACTAGAAAACCTTCCTATATCGAGCTTTATCCCAAAATCTGAATGACTTCTCAAGCAAAAGAAAAATAGAAAATGAAATTGTAACTGTATCTCGCAAACTGTCAACTTTTGGACTAAGGAATGTCTAGATCAATTCACATATTTTGGTCTGTAGGATCTCCAGTTTCGAGATTTCCCAACCTTTCACAGACATCCTCCTGTATATAAAATATTCCTCAAACCTTAGAACGGTAAAAACTACTAAGCAGTTAGTCGACCTGGAATAGTCTGGAGTCCGTAACCTCAAGACAAATAAACGTTTAAGCTTTCTCATTGTATCTGTTCTAACCAGTTTTTTTTTAATTTCAGATGGCGGCAGTCTGCTTGAGGAACCCTCCACGGCAAAACCGACCCCGGAGCAAGACGACCTTCTGCTCAACACCGACCTCCCCATCTTCCTCGCTGAACCTCAAAACGCGTTCGTGGTCAAAAACCGCCCAGCCACGTTGCATTGTAGGGCCGCGCATGCGCTCAACCTCTACTTCAAGTGCAATGGGGCCAAAAAAGTGGACACCACCGAGAACTTTTTCGTGGACCCCCAGAACGGGGTCAGACTCTTCGAGGCGGAAGCTAATGTCACCAGGGACATGGTGGACGAGTTCTTCGGCAAGGAAAAGTTCAAGTGCGAGTGCTTTGCTTGGAGCGGCAGAGGGAGCATCAAGAGTCAGCCGGCCACCGTTGAAGTTGCATGTAAGTTTTTGATTTTGAGTCTGCGTTTTATTTTGTTTCGTACATGCTTTGAGAGACAGTGAAGGTAAACCTTGAATACGAGAGTACGAGATCGACGGAACTATTATAAGCAGCCTATGTCACAATTTATAGACAATTCATTATTCAACTGTTACGAGGAACTTGCTAGTTTCCCATATCACTTTAGTATTCATATGAAACACATTTATTGAAGGCCCTAGATAGCCTGTCTGGTTTTTGAAGTAATTGCCGTTAAACTATACTACTACTACAATAATAATTACAACATTACCGTTATTGATCCTTATACTTCAGTTATAGATATCATTGATACTATTGATGATATGATTTCTTTCTTCGCACCTCAATATGATAATATAATAATTCTTGGTGACATCAATGTTGACCTTTTAAATCATGACAATCCTTTGAGCAACTGTTTCGATAGCTTCAATTTTGATCAATTAATAAGTGAACCGACTCGTGTAACTTAGTTTAGACCCCATTTTTTCTAGCAGTGTTGTAAAATCAGGAGTTCTCCATGCTGATCTTGTGTCCGACAACAAGTTAGTTCTCTGAGCTGTTGCACTGAAGATATGCGGAATTACGCACTTGCTTCTGCAGGAAGAAGAGGGCCTGCCTTTCTAGATATGGTGATATTAGTACACGATCAGCATGGAAAACACTTAGATCTATGAATGTCTGTCAACAGAAACGGGTTGATGTACCGTTCAATCTGCTAGATCCTCGTGGAGTCAACGAATACTTTTCAAGTACTTTTATGCCTTCCGATCAAAACCTCAAGGTAGTACAATCTACTGTCAACAGCTACAGCAACAGACGCTTTGATCCCGACGTGTCATCATTTCACTTTCGTCTGGTAACCCCTCGTGAAGTTATGGATGCAGTCTTGTATATCAAGTCTGAAGCAGCGGGTTGTGATGGCATCACTCTAACTATGTTAGGCTTATGCCTGCGTGGAATATTTGATCACATCACGCATATTATTAATATTTGCTTAGAGAGGGGCGTTTTCCCATCCAACTGGAAGGAGGCAATAGTCACACCTCTGGCCAAAAGCAATAATCCGTCTGAACATGCCGATCTTAGACCTATAAGTGGTTTATGTTTCTTGTCGGAAGTCTTGGAGAAGATAGTATACCAACAGCTTGTTGAGTATTTTGCTAATAGTAATGTCTTTCCAGTACACCAATCTGGTTTTCGTGAAGGTCACAGTACGACCACTGCACTACTACATCTTGCAGATGAGATACTTCACAATCTTGACAACAAATCCGGCACGCTGTTGGTCATGCTTGATTTTTCCAAGGCTTTCGATACGGTCAATCATGAGATTATTTTGAGTAAGCTAAAATATTATGGCATGTCGGAAGTTCCTTTGAATTTCTTCAGATCGTACCTAACTGATCGCACCCAAAGAGTGAAAACATCTAGAGGAAATTCTGATCCACGGTATCTGTCATCAGGAGTTCCACAGGGTTCAGTACTGGGACCTCTTTTATTCCTAGTATACACATTCTTTCTGCATGAGTGTGTAGAAAATTGTTGCATTCAAATGTATGCCGACGATACACAACTAACATTTCGTTTCAATGAATCCAACTTACATGAAGCACCCTATAAAATTAACCTAGGTCTTGATAACATATTAACATATTGTAATAGACACTGTCTCCGCATCAATCCATCAAAATGCACCGCGATACCATAGTGTCCTAAACATTCAAATTACAATATCACAAATCGAGTCTCCTTATTTATCAACGACACTAATATTCCATTTTTTGATAATGCTAAGAATCTAGGTGTTATATTTGATTTAAATCTTAGATTTAACTTACATGTGAATAGTATTATGAAGTCGAGTTATTTGAAGATGAAGCTTTTATATTCTAGTCGCCATATTCTAAACTTTAAGTGCCGTAAAAAGTTGAGTGAAAGCCTCATATTATCAATTTTAGCTTACTCTCTAGTCATCATTTACCCATGCCTAGACTCAGTTTGCAATTTAAAATTGCAGAAGCTTCAGAACAACTGTTGTAGATTCATATTTGGTGTTAGGAAGTAAAGTAGCGTTTCTTCAAAAATCAAGGAGTTACAGTGGATCAGAGTTGATGGCTTATTATTCCAAGCTCCATTGGTGCATAGAATTTTTGAAATTGGTACTCGGTAAGTTGAAACCAAATTACTTTAAATTCCTATAAATCGTACGTCGGTCTTTGAAAGCTCCTTTACTTATAATGCGGTCAAGGTATACAATTCTTTACCAGTTGTCTCTAAGAGTTTACGTTTGCAGCGCTTCAAGTTGCACTTTCTGGACTCAGCACATTGAGTGATAAATTCATTTTGCTGAACGGTTTCTTGTTCTATTGTTTCTCTTCTTTATATATTTACTCCTTTTTAATACATTCCTTGCAGCTACTGATTCATGTTGTTTTGCTAATGTTTTGTGATGTTTGGTTGTAGTATGGTTGAGTGGTAGAGGCCATGACTAAACTTTGCCATACTATGATCATTTTCTGAATAAAGACATTATTATTATTGTTATTATTATACTGGCCGTTTCTCTTTTCTCTGGTTTAATTGTATAAAGAGTGATCCAAAAAATCATTACAATATTTCTGGGGTAGAAGGTAGATCCAAAAATTACTGGAAAAGTTCTTGTAACCGAGACTTAAAATGACTACCTAACGAGATACAGGGTATTGAAGATAGAATGAAACACATTGGCTTAAAATTTTGATTATTTATATGGACAATACATATGAGATTCTATTATTTTTTATTTTAATTGAAAAATGTTGCTTAACATGGCGACGACACTGCTTCAATTAAAATTGTGAATTATCAGAAATGCTTGCTACCTAGTCTTTTGCCGAAAAATTTCGGTACTAGCTAAAAGATAAAGCACAAAAATATTCCAATTTGTCAGGCAGCCTGTGTCGACATTATTACCCAGTCGAAAAATTAGGCTCCCTGAATGATCCTGAATATTTCTAGAAGGTACAGGATAACCCTGGTCAACTTAAATACTCCATCCATGCGAATTTGGTCCACAATGTACATGTCATAGAATGGCAATGTTGGTAGACAGGCTAGTACGGATGATGATAGAAATGTGAATAAATATCAATCACCTATTACATTATGCTAGAAGTGCGAACTGCCCAACTTGAGGGCTCTAAATCTGGGAAACTACTCATCGAAAATCTGGGGCTGGGTCGATGGGTATTGTTCTACGTGTTCAAATCTACGACATATACTGAGTGACAATTTTTGGCATATCTTCAGTGGCCTTTAATAGTAAAATAATTAAATTTTTAGCTTGATTTGTCAACCGACTGCAGAAGCTGGTTCAATAATGTGTTAAGGAGCCACGATTTGACATGTTCAATTGGAGATAGGTCAGGCGATCGTGGTGGCCAAGGTAAACGGTTGATGTTGATCCATAAAGGCTGACAATTCTATGGCAACATCGGTCTGGCATTGTCTTGCTGAAAGATCGGGTTTTTGATAGTGTTTAGGTATGGAATAAGATGAGGCTCCTCTACTTCCTGAATATAGCGTCGGGATGTCGTATTACCTCTGAAGAAAATTAGTGGTGATCTGCTATCATAAGCAATAGCACCCCATACTATAACTCCCACGGTGTGGTGAACGTGAACGCCGTCTGACAAATTGTGAGTCCACGCTCGTTCATACTACAGTGTACTGCATACTGTATACTTCATAGGTTTTTCTATTCTAGTCATCCTTCCGATTAACTGCTCTTATCCATCAACAAATCTACCAATTGAGTTGAGAATTAAAAAACCTATTGTTCCTTCTCCAAGTTCATTATTGTACCACCCCTGTTAATGCCACGTAATACTTTCAACCCACATACGGGCTGTAATTTTTAATCGTAGAGAAACCGCTGTGGAAACGTTTGTAATTTTTAAAGGCGTTCATCGATCACGCTACCGTTGAAATATTGATCGACGAATGTGGTCCTCGGCCTGCTCGATTTCTGCGGGTAATGAATCAAACTCGATTAATTGCTAATGGTGGCATAGCGCCATGTTGGTATGACTTCATTAGTAGGACGATGTCGGGTGCCAGTGCTGGGAATTCCTATTTGGCAGTATTAGCCCTATTAGGGTTGATACGTGAGTCATGAACTGAGACCAGAGATTGAGTCAGTCTTGATAGAGGCAAAGATAAGGAACATATTCATAGAAACTACATATGCTGCATGTATGTTCTTTGATTTGTACCTCGGAAACCGGGTCTCGTATTTTTTGACATACTTAGGGTGGATTTCACCAGGATTGTCAAATTAATAGTCCGTTATTCTCCACCTATATCCGTCAAATACAGCAATAGCTATGAAATGTTGAAAACAAAATACTGTCAAAGTATGAGATGACAGCTTGTCATTGAAGCATCACCAGCTTATTGAATATTAAGGTATTACATATGATTTAGTCACAATTTAAAAAAGTGTTCGACTTTTGAATGAAATTCATGTTTTTATTTAATATTGTCGATTGTTTATTCATGTTTACATTATTTTCTTCAATTGATATGCGATTTTACCGATTCAAAATCACCTACCGTGAGTTTTTCCCTATAAACCTCTTACAGATAGCCATTAAGCACCTACTTGATGACAGGCTCTACCAAAAATTGCATAGATATTGCTCGTTTCCAAACAGTCATTCATTTACTTGCCATTAATCAGTACCATTATATCACCGTCGATTGATATTCCCACAAAACCATTCAGGATTTTTGATATCCATAAATCCATAAAGTCAAATATTTTTTGGTTGTTCAGGAACTGGGTTATATTTATATTAGACGTTATTTGAATAACAGGTGATTATTACATTTCAAAACTCTCCAACGAGTGACACATGTGTGGGATTCGTCAACCCTTGGTCCCAGTGGAGTAAGCTCACCAACTGTTGAAATATACTATACGTGGAATTTTTCCC